AAATCAGGGAAAGTTGCACAAAAAATAGGATTCAGACATGTGCACTGGGGAAGACAATATGGTTCTGTAGAAGAAAGAACACGTGGCATATACGGACATTTATATGAAATGAGCAATGCAGAGCAGGGGGAAAGTTGAAAATTCACATTAACTTTCTCCAGAAGCCTTCACTAGGTCCTTACAGATTTAGGTGTCTCACCATGGACTAAAAAGGCCTAAACAGAGAAGAGAGGGCTGGAGGGAAAACATAGGAGTCTATGAATGTTTCCTCAAAAAGCCTCAGACAAGGGAGTCCAATTAGATTTTGAATTTGCAAGTGATGTTACCCCTTTCAGAGACAAAAAGTAGTAAGATCTCACATAGACCTTACTATGCATAAACAAACAAAAAGAAGATTCAGGGAGGGCTTAGTCTGAGGGACCTAACTGATGGGGAAAAGGAAGCTGACCATTCATACCTCATAAGAGCAACTGTCATTTATGCCAAGGATGGACTCTGACTGAAAATTATCTAGTGGAAAGAGAACAGAATAAAAGTAGTTACTTGCTTTCAATCATCCCTTTAACACAAACTATATTTTGGCCACTTCTGAACTAACAACAGGAGAAAAGAAAAAAAGAAAAATCAAGATCTGAGGATTGAAAATAAAAACAGAAGAGACCAGCAGAGAGAAGCAGCTCTCTGAAATGCACTGTTAATATAAGGTCAGCAATCTAGAGAGGAGCCAACCAAGAAACAGATGTCTGGATATGTAATATCATGGTGAAATAAAGGAGACAGAGGCTACCCCTGAAGCTAGAAGTACAACATCAAGGACCAAAGGATAGGATTTCACCAAGAAATATAAATTTATGAATATTAGCCTATGGATTAAAATACTGGGACACTAGTTATAAAGAAAGAATTCAAGAATTCAAGAATCCTTGAATTCTCAAGGATGCCAAAAACCTATTCCTATATAGAACAGCACATATCTACTCTAAAGCAAAGATCACCTTGCAAGTCACTGACCTTTAATCATTGTTGCATTTGTTCCAGGAAAAGGAGCCATTTACTCAGAAAATTCAAGGTGGAAAGTTTTTTCAGGGTGTTCGTACTTGACAAAGAGGGAATAAGTGTACCCCACTGTTCAATCATTTCACCTCATCAGATTTTTTTCGGGTCTACCTGTCATTCAAAACTATAAATTTCTTCGATCTTCCTTCTTAGATAACCCCTTAATACAAAAGGAGGAAAGAAGGAAGGCGATGAGGCAGAGATGGAGGACAGAAGAGAGGGAAGAGAAAATGAGTGAGAAGGGAGGGGGTATTTGCAAATACAGAGTAGGTTATTAGGTCTGCTTTCCCGGTAATCACTAGGCAAATCTGAGCAATTAACTTGCCCGGGTTTTACACAGATATTAATACTCAGATTAACACCTCTGATGTTAGGTGGATACCTCAGTCTCTGTTCTGGAATAAGTTCCTGCAGCATCAGCTTCCAAAGTCCCTGAGGACCTTTCAGAGCTAGAGAGAGTAAGAGAAATCTGATTGCAAATTCAGATGTCCATGTGCTATGCTAAAGAAAGTCTGACACCCCTTTGAGTTACCTGCACCTGTGTATCTATTTATACCGAGAGATTAATTACCTATATTCTGTCCTAATGGATTAGGTTATATAAATCTATCTGAAATTGTGCTGTCCTTATTTAGTACCTTTCATTTATATCAAAACAGGTCTCTAAATCAAAGTTCAATTAAATTTTCTATAGTTTCATGAACCTGAAATCAGAGTTTGATAGGTTTCTGTGTCACAGTAAAGGATGGCATAATTTTTAATAAGTTACAATTAGGAATATTTCTCCTTGGGTAGTATTTGATCTTGATTAGGATAGAAATTTGTAAAGGTAGGACGAAGATCAATATGAACAGCCTATAGATGATACTGAGAACATGCCAGATAGCAAACAGTGGTAGCTCATTCTGTGATAAATATTCAAAATCAGTTATGACCTCTGTCTTCAAGGACTTTATATTCCAACTGGGCTTGGAAAAGAAGAAACTTTGTTCCTAGTCACTTCACTCTTATCAGAATTTTTATTACTTTAGACTTCAGGACCACCTGGATGAGTTTCTACATTTTGAGGAAGACCTCCAAAAGACCAGCTCAGAACACAAGATAACCTTTTCAACAGATAGACTTTGCCTACAGAAGACCTAGCCTGTAGTTCCCAATAACCATAACACACACAGGGCACCCCAACAGAGCATCTCTTTTCCTGTCTGTGTAATGGGAAGATTAACAAATTCCACCATGTTGGATTGTGTTGAGCAGAAATAATATTCTCAAAAGTGTCCTGAAACCATAAAGCCATGTTTATCATTATGACATCAAGTCTCCATACATTTTGAGGATTGTTAGGGCCTCTGACAGAGAAGGTCAGAAAGGAAACTTTACTTCAATGGCCAGACTCTCCACTCTGCTCTTTGGAAAAGAAAAACAAAGATGCTCAGGTGTCTGGAGAGTGCCCTCTTTTGCTTTTGCAAGGCTATGGTTCACATTATCTGTCCTCATCTTTTTTATTTAGTGACCTTTTTTTGAGTCTTGCTTGGGATTTCAATGTACAATTTAATTTTTTCCTGTTATTACAACTTTGTCTTATACAGTGCCAAATGGAGGCACTAAGATCTTACCACTCTTTAGCCAAGATGGTAAATTAAAGCCTTTCATTTCACTAAATTAAAAAGCCAGGGTCAATAATTTAAAAAGTGATTTCAGATTTGGACATACTTCTCAGCTTTCTTCCTGGTCATTTTTATTTCTCTTACACACACCCATAGTGAACACCCATTAGTAAGCCTCCTTTACTCAAAGATACAGAAGAAATAAGAGTAACAGCCCATTCAAAGTTGCTTTTGTGCTGTTTAAACTTAAACATCTATGTGCAATAATAAACCAGTATTAAAGGAAAAATAAATACAAATTCTATCAAAAATATTTTATTTTTACCCTAGATGATTACTTGTTGAGGAAAATAAACATTTTTTTAAAGTTTATTTTTACATCATTTTGCACATTTTTTTTTCATCTCCATTGTAATCCAAAAATAAACATTTTTGCTTGAGATGCGTTTCAGGACACAAAGTGCGACTACTTAAATTTTGAAATTTAAAGTATTCTTAAATTTAAGAAAATGTCACTTATAGTCCTAGAACCTTCAATTCAGGACACTTTTCAACATAAGATATGCTTAAAACAATATTTGGGAAATATAATAGCTAATTTGGGATATGTCATATAGTATAATATACTCACTTGAAGCTAATTTTTTTTATTTGTAAAAAGTAGAAACATACTTTCATTTGAATCCAAAACCCACTTACTTTCCTGAACTTGACCAGTGTGCACATATGTCCTGCTTTCTTCCTGTCATACCTGGTTGAAATTTTCCCATCACTGAGCATTAGAACAGAGGCCTCCCCAGACTGTCAATTAGACATAACTTACCTGACTTAAACACACAATAAAAAGTGTGCTCACAGAGTTGTATAGCAGTGAATTCTGGTTGCCCAGTCACTTGTCACCGGAACAATCAGGGGTGGCCAAGACACTTTGGTTGAGCTAGATTGAGTGTTAATGAGGAAAGGCGGAGACTTACAAGCAACATGGAAGTAAATCATTGTTCCAGACTGACAAGTTTCTATTAAACTATTCCGAGTTGTGAATAAGCTGCTGACAGCCGAGTGCACCAAGAAAGCTCTGACTCCAAACACAACAGGCATACTCTCCTGGTTAAAGCATCTGGTTATCAATAACACACAGTAACAAGAGGAATTTCCAGTATTTTCCTTCAGGTGGGTACTCTCTTTCCTTCAAGATCCAAGAGTTGAATAAGGCTTACGGAGGGAACCAAGGAAGGGAAGAAATGGCAGCCCCGACCAACCCCACGCAGATGCTCTGCTACTTGGCCTACTCCCTTGCTCCGCCGCGAGGAAGCCCACACCTCCGAAGATGGGACAGGACGTGCCTTCAGTTCCACACAATACCAAGTCGGCCCCAACAGCCCTGGCAACCTTCCTCCCCAAGTTAGTCGAGAGTTCCCACTCAATTAGAGTCACCTCAACTCCAGAGACCCGGAGCCCCGAGGAAGCTGGAAGGCGCGCGGGCACCCAGGGGCGCTGCGCTCACGTGGTCGCCGGCGGCTACACTCGCGCCAGGGATCCCCCGCGGCGGCGGAGGGAAGCGCCCCGGAGCGCGAGGAGAGCTGCGCTCAGGCACCCGACGCGCGCGGGGAGGGGAGGGTCCCGGCGCGTGGGGACTCGGGGAGGGGCAGCTGAGCGTCTGGCAGTGCTGGCCCAAGCGCAGGTCCCCAGGGTGCGCGCAGAAGGGAAAACACAAGTTTGAATAGGGTCGCCACTTGATTCTTTTTTTTTTTTTTTTAACAAAGGTTTATTGTAACGGGGCAAAAGGCGTTAGAAACTCATCTAGCGTGAGAGCTCCAAGGTCGCCCCTACCCGTCCTCTTCTGGAAACCGCGCTTGAAATCCCCGGCAAAAGGGCGAGCCAAGGTGTCCCGAGGTAACGGTCGCATCCCCACCCACCTCTGGGGGGACGCTGCGCACTCGGTCCCAGCGAGGGCTGGGGAACCGCGCCGCGGAACAAAGGGGAGGTGTTGCCCCCCGAGGCACGGCGGCCGCGGAGAGCTGGTGTCGCAGACCTCGGCTGCCAGCGTGTTTCTGGCTTGTTTCGCTTTGCCGCGGGGAGGGGGGCGGGGATCAGAACTCCGGGAGGTTTTTCCCAAGCTGGGAGACCGGAGATTGGCACCCGATCCCACCAGCACACAACTCCAGTCAACTCCGGGCCGCCGCCGCCGCCGCGGCCACTTGGGGGTGGGGAGCAGAAGGCAACGGGGGGAGGAGAAGGAGGGGCGGGAGGGCCGGCAGGGAAGGCAGGAAACAGGTGAGCTCCCACCGCACCCGTCGGCCACCCCGCGCGCCGCCGCCCCACCCGAGAGGCACTTACTGGCTTTGCACGGGTCCTTGTAATCTATCGTCTCCGCTCTATCCTCTTCGCTCGCGTCAAAAGTGTAATCATAATCGAGGCCGGCGCAGACCCAGAGCTCCCCGCAGAACACGATCCCCGAGGTCACCAGCCACACGAGCATCCTCGAGGAAAGCGCGTCCAGCCCCATCCTCCTCCCCTGGAGGAAAGGGGGGACGCGAGCGGGAGGTGCGGCGCCCGCGGTCCGCCGGAGCGGCGGGGAGAGGAGGACCGGCGCTCGCCTCCCCGCCGGGAGGCTCCTAGGCGGGACCCGGGCGCTCAGGTGTCCGGAGACATGCAGGTGCGGTCGGGACAGTAGAGAGGGCAGGAACTGCCAGTTACCCCCGTTGCAGGGAGAAGTTGGCGGCGGGCCCGCGGGTGGGCGGAGGGCAGGTGAGGCGCTCCCCGAGGCGGGGAGGGGCGGCTGCGGGCAA